CGACCGTGCTTGGGCTCGCTTCCCTCGTCGAAGGCTAGCGCGGAGACTTCTCTGCAGCTCAGCCTTGGGGCCTCTGGTGGGGGTAGGTTTGGGGGGAGGGCCAGGATCTCGGGGACCGTGCGTCTGAGCGGGTCGGGCTGCGGTCCGCTGCTGCTACTCCCTCCTCCGCTCGCCGGTGGGCCCTCTGGGGCGTTGCTGCGGGCGTAGGGGTCGGGCGCGTTCGCATCCGGCGCCGCGGGTACGAGGAGGGCGGCCAGGTCTGGGATGGCACCACTAGGGTCCGCCTGCGCTGCGTGGCGCTGGCGGGCTGCAGGCTGCCGTGGGAAGATGTCCCAGAAGTCGCGGTCCATGATGTGGTCCAGGGTTGCTGGGACAACGTTCCAGACTTACACTAGGCATCTCCGGCAGCACCACGTGGCGTTCCCCTTGTGCTGGACCCAGGAGAGTGGCCACTGGTCCCAGCTGGGAAGGCCTGATTGCCCGTGGCCCGCTGCCTCGGCCTCGGCCTTCCAGATGAAGCAGCCGAGCGCTGGCGCGTCAACCCTCCACGCCAGTAGCGGCCCGTCGGGCGGACAGGCGTTGCACTTGGCAGAGTAGGAGCCTGTCTTGTGGGCGTCTCCTCCGATCCGTCCATCCGAGATCCTCTTCGCTGGCAGTGTGGCGTTCGCCAGCCGTGGGAGGTGCTGTCCGGAGGGGGCCATGAGGAGGTCGCTCAGCTTCCTGATCTCCCCGACGGTGGGGTCGCGTCCGTAGCCCAGGGGCCAGAGGCTGGGAAGCGGGGGGAGAGCGTTGGCGACGGGATCGCTTGGCCGTCCGTTCCGCCAGGCCGTGTAGTCCAGAACGTTGGCGGTGACGGACGTGCCAGTCGGGCTTGGGAGGCACCTGATGTTGAGGCTGGCAATCCAGCAGGTCTCGCATAGCCATCTGAGATTCTGCCCGTCCAGATATGCCTGAGATCTGTTGCTGGCCAGGAGGTCCCTGACGGTGTCATCCTCCCAGGTCCCGTCTGTGTATTTCAGCTTGGCAGACCTGCAGCCGTCACAGCTGAAGACGGCGTTCTTCTGGTCGCTCTGCAGACTGTCGTCGTTGATGGTGGGGGGGGGCCAGCCTTGTGCCAGGCGCGGGGGCTGCTGGTGTGGTCGACGCCAGGTCGGTCTTGGAGAGAGCTGTACCTCCGCCGACGTACCCCAGCGCAGCGTCGGCCCTGTCCTCTCCCAGGCCGACGTCGGACCTGGCCAGGGCGGTGTGGAGCGCGCATATGGAGCACTTGTAGGTCGCTAGTGGGGCGAGATTGGCCGCTGGCACGATCGCCTCCAGGACGAGCATTGGGGCCTTGAGCTTGAAGTCGGCCTTCTCCATGTCCTCCCAGGTCTGGGGGCACCCAGCCTTCTTCGCCACCTCGTGATTGTGAGCGTTCGTCACCAGCCTCGAGACTTGGGAGAGCGCGTCCTCGATTTTCCCGTGTAGGTCCACGAAGTCGTCTAGCGAGAGGCTCCACGCTACTGCAAACTGCTGCCGATCCAGAATTCCAGACGTTTCGCGCATCCCCACCAGCCCATCCAGAAACGATGTCCAGGCGAGTTGAGGTGATCAGGGAAGTGCAGGAGCAAAAAGGGGGACGGCCGAACCGTGCGAAGGAGGGAGGAGGAGAAGGAGGAGGCTGGATGAATGGATGAGGAAGTGGGGACAAGGAGGATGAATAGGAGAAGGAGGAGGAGGAGGAGGAGGAGGAGGAGGAGGAGGTGGAGGAGGATGGAAGAGGAGGAGGAGGAGGAGGAGGAGGAGGAGGAGGAGGAGGAGGAGGAGGAGGAGGAGGAGGAGGAGGAGGAGGAGGAGGAATGGAGGAGCAGGAAAAGGAGGGTAAGCAAAATGGCCAGAGGTCTCTGGGATGCCTCTCGAAGCCTCTTGGGCTATCTCCTGGGCGCTTTTTGGTGGCTTCTTGGGACGTTTTGGGGGTCTCTTGGCGGTCCTGGGGTGCTCTTGGGCGTCTTGGGTGCCGCCGGGGCCTCTTGGGGCCGCTTGGGGTCCTCTTGGGGGCCTCCTGGGGGCCTCTTGGGAGCCACTCGGGGCCATCTTGGGGCCATTTTGGGGCCTCTTGGGGCATCCTGGGCGCTTCTTGGGGCCATCTTGGAGGGCATGGATCAAATAAGAGGGGAGCTCCTTGTAGCGCTGCCCCGCAAAAGACCAACATGGGGCCAACACCTTAGTACAACCAATGATTTTGGCGTCCTCGCCGAGGCCGTTTTGGATGCTCCAATGGGTCGCGACACCGCCCGTCCAGGTCCAGGGAGGGGGTAGGGAGAGGGGTCAAGACCCCCTCCCCGCCCGCAAGCCGTCTCGCTCACTCCCACCCGCCCTCCCAACACATACGTAGCACACGAGTCTGGCCCGAGCCTCAGCATATTCAGCAGTCGTCTTTGGATGGGCAGCTACTGGGGGCCAATCCGCCGCCGCCGCCGCCGCCGCCTCCGCCGCCGCCGCCGCCGCCGCCGCCGCTGCCGCCGCCGCCGCTGCCGCCGCCGCCGCCGCCCCCCGCTGCCAAACCGCCGCCGCAGCCGCTACCGCCACCGCTACCGCCGCAGCCGCAGCCGCCGCAGCCGCCGCCCCCGCCGCCGCCGCCGCCGCCGCCGCCGCAGCCGCTGCAGCCGCCGCCACCGCCGCCGCAGCCGCCGCAGCCGCCGCCGCCGCCGCCAAGTGTACTCTGTATTGTTTTTGACAGGGATGGTGTGGGGGGGGGCCGCTGGATTGGCTGCGCATGTTCCGATTTCGGAGGCAGAGTGTGTTTTGTATTGTTTTTTACAAGGGATGGTGGGGGGTGTCGTCAAAGACCTTGGTTGGCCCCCAGTCGCCTGGGGGAGGGGGTGTTCATTAGTAGGGAACGCTGATCAAGCTACCCACCCGCCCGCAAGCCGTTTAGCTCACTCCCACCCGCGGGAAGGGGGTTGGGAGAGGGGTCAAGCTACCCACCCGCCCGCAAGCCGTCTAGTTCACTCCCACCCGCCCTCCCAACACATACGTAGCACCCGAGCCTGAGCATGTTCAGCGGTCGTCTTTGGATGGACAGCTAGTGGGAACCCAAACCGACCCCAGGTGCTCGACGCTTGGGCCAGGGGCCCCACGCTTGCCATGGGCGCCACGCGCGCCAGGCACCCCTGGGGCCCGAACGTGCCAGGCACGCCTGGTGCGCCAGATGCTCCACGTGCTCCGTGTGCGCCGGGTGGGCCGCACATTCCAGCCGCGCCATGTGCGCCATGTTCGGAGCACGTGCAGAGTGCGTCAGATGCGCCTGCGCACTTGAGAGCACGCATCGTGAAACATTTGGCCCCCGCCATCCTTGCCGAAAACCAACGCCCATCATTGTGTCCGGTGGGCCTGCGCACATCAGGCCACGCGCCACCACCCTTAAGGTCCCTGCCAAAAAACATTTGACAGTGATTTGCGGGATGGCCGCACATGATCCAGATTTAGCCGCGAGATGCATGCTTTTTAGGGGGGCAAGGATGGTCGTTTTGCGCATGGCAGGGGGTATGCTGGCACCCCCGCCGTCCCTGTCCCTGTCGTTCGCGGGCCTCACGAACATTATTCAAGACTTTGCCCTAAAGTGTATTTTGCTTCCTCTTTGACAGGGATGGTTTGGGGGGCGCATCGGGTTGGCCGCGCATGCTCCACATGTGGAGGGAGAGTGCTTCGTGTATGGTTTTTTAACAGGGATGGTGGGGGCGGGCCGTCGTGGTGTTCGCATGGTTCCTGTTTGGACGCTGGTCGCCTGGGGGAGGGGGTGTATATTAATAAGGAAGAGTGATAAGACCCTCCCCGAAGGGGAAGACGGGGGTTGGAAGAGGAGCCGTCCTAGACCACGTACGCCCAGAGGGCTGGACCTCGGACAGTTTATGGTTGGGTCGTGCTTTCTTCGGGAGGTTCGAGTCGGACGAAGGAAAAAGACGGCACAAATCAGCTGCACGCGGCTGGCTCTCCCAGCGCCTCCTGGCGCGGGCAGTGACCACGTATCGAGGAACGCGTTGGGCGATCAGTTTATGCTAGTTTGAACACAGGAAGACCGGAAGCTCATTCGCGGACGTGGCCCGGTTGTGTTGTATGTTTTTGGCTTCGGGCAGTATTTCTTTCGTCTTGCCGCGCCACAGGGGTTTGTTTCCAGCCTCCCCGTACATGCTTGGACTGGATTCGCGCGGTGCGATCGTCGCTCGCTCGAGGAGGGAGGAAAGACAAAGCTCACGAGGAGGGGCGGGGCTTGCCCAGAGAGGACGCTCCAGCGTCCCTCGCGCCACCCTTGGCCCTTGACCACGAGGGAGACGGGTCTTGAGGGAAGCGGGTCCTCCGCTCCCCCTCCTTGCCATCTTCCGCCCCCACCTGTCCCATGCCAAGGGGATCTGAATTACGTGCTGTTTTGTCATTTCTGCTGGTGTCCTGCTGTGGCAGGAAAAATGATGGCTCCGTGGACCCTGTCAGCAGCCCGCCCGCAAAGGGCTTCAGGCCTTGATTCGCCTTGGGAGAGGGCTCCCGCCAAAGTCGGGAATGCATTATCCTTGGTGATTGTGGTGAGGTGGTCAGGCTAGCACTATGAGACTGTTTTTGTTAACCCTCGGGGCTGTAACGCGCGTTATACTTCCCCTCCCCCCCTCCCCCTCCCCATAACGTAACGCCCCGAAGTGCGTCCCAGCACTGCCGCAGTGCGTTTGGCAGCGGCGCGGGCGTTCACGGTCGGAAGGCCACTGGCGGCCTGGACCAGGCCGGCTTTGAACGGTGTCTGCTGTCGGACAGCGGATGGCGCCTGATATCGAACGATTTGCGCGGTGTTAGAAACCAACGTCCACGTCGTTGCGACAGGAATGAATCGGATGTTTGTTTTTGCGGATTACCGACGGGTTGTCCTCAGCCAGCGGTAGTTGCGTGCCTGCACCGAAACAGTCCCTTTTGTGTCTTGGGCCTTCTTCCGCTTTGTCAGTCGCTTTGCTTGTTTCATTATGGTCTTTTACTTGCAGGGTACGAAGTGCGCCGACTTCGACTGCGACGACGAGAAGCGAGACATCTGGTCGCAGGACTCGTGCTGGCACGTGTGATGCCAATGCTGACATTCTCACTGTGAGGGAGGTCTGATTTGGGATGGGAGGAGATTACCTCCTCCTGCTTTTCTGTCCCCCGTCCCTCCTGTTGCTGTTGCTGTTGCTGTTTGCTTGTTTGTTTGTTCTCTCTTTCTCTCTCTCTCTCTTTCTCTCTCTCTCCCTTTCTCTCCTTTTCTCTCCCCCTCCATCCTCCTCTCTTTCCCTCTCTCACCCCGTCTCTCCCTCCCCCTCCCCTTCCCCTTCAGCCGCCGTCCCGGCTCAGACTTTGGCAGTTGCTACCAGGCAGCAGCGAGCCCAAGCAAGGACAGCTGCCATACGCGTCGGCCCGATACCCAACGAAAACAGCACAGAGATTGCACGGGCCAGCCGTGACATATCCCAGCGGCGACAGGCGACGAACAACCAACGACATTTGCCAGAGCCAGCTTGGCACAGGCGCGGACGCAGCGCCAGAGCCCAAACCCGTACATTGGTCAGAGTCGCAGCAGCAGCAGAGCCCTTACGGAGCCATCACAACACAATGCGTCATCACAATTATGCGTCCCACACGACGCCAGTGTGGTCGAGCATATCAAAATTTTGGGAGTGCCCGACATGCAGTATGTCACACCCTCCGACTTCAGCCTCTGGCGGAGTCTGCGAGGTTTCGCCCACCCAGAAGCAGACGAAAACAGAGACGGTGGAAGAGGCAAAACCAAATGTGGACCCACGGCCACGGAGAAATGTTTCACGGTTTCACGTCTGAGAAGATGGCACAGACCCAATCAGTAACAGTGGCAGCAGCATGATTGGCACACTGCGTCGGACAGCACACGAGCGAGATCCCGGGCACCGACTTGGAAGAAGCACGACAACAAGGAGCCTCTCATGATCGGCACAGCAAAGCCACATATTGCAGAGTCGCACAGATTGTGGGTGCCAGTGCCCAAGAAACCAGCAGACTTACACAAACATCGTGTGCATTTGAAACAAACAGTCAGATGCCATCGAGAAGCAGTTGCGAGTGGGGTACGATCTTGGCCACAAGAGAGCCTGGCTGGCTGAACTGGGAACAGACTTTGCCGTCACAGTGTATCGGGTCATGTTTGCAAGGCCGCCGGATGAAACAATTGCACTTCCAATTCAATATGTCGAGAGATCGCAGAAGAGACTCAATGATTCTGTCAAAACAGAGGATGATGCGAGCAAATATCTCCAGGAATGCCAGACGCAGACGGCGCATGTTCGACAGGACTGGGAGAAAGCCAAAGTTTTGCAGAGTCATTCAAAGTACTGGCCACATGATCAGGTGGTCAAAGAGGAGCAGGTCAGTGACGACGAGAAACCAGATGATGGCATGATGAGCGAGCCACAGGCGCGCCCAATCAAAAAGAGAGCAGCGGACCCCAGTTCGCCAGCGTCGACAGTCCACAGCTCAGCAGCGACAATATTGTCCGCCACGCTAGCAGCGATGCAGGCAAACAACACCAACATGGTCTCACAGTTGATGAAGCTAGCTGAGCATATGGCTACAATGCAGATCACATTGGCGAAGGCTGGTGCCATGCAGCCCCCGCGGCAGCAGCAGGAGCCGAATCCCCCGCGCAGCCAGCAGCAGCATATCCAGTCACAGCTGCAGCGCCAGTCCAACACTAGCCAATGCCATTGCAGGGCGAGATGGTTCAATCGCCAGACGGGCAAGGGCAGATACCGAACTCCACCAAGGAGATCGCCGAGCCGCCCAAGCCACCCATCCAGAGAGTCCAGCAGCCCACGCTCAAACCGAATGACAAGGACAAGGAGAAGGCCAAGGCGCGCTTCATGGGGGCCTTTGCCAAGGGGGGGGGGGGGCTGACATCAAGCAGCAGGGGGGCGATGGTGGCCTGCCTTCCCTGGGCTTCGACGGCGAACCGACGCGCGTGGAGGGGCAAGATCAGCAAGTTTTTTGCCGACGAATTCGAGGCGCACAGCGCCGGCTGCTCGAGGCGCCCCAGAGGGCTCGCACGTTCCCGGCGCATCTAAAAGAGGTATTGCATGCAGTCCACTTCCAGAAGTAGACTCTACGTTTCAGATTATCGAAACGCCATGGTCTGGGGGTCTATGTGATGACATCCATTCCTGTGCCCCGTCTTGGCGCGCAGCTGCGATTCGGGGTTTCGCAGAGTTGGCAGCGCGAGTCGGTTGAGAACGACCGACGAGGATCGACATTAACACGTGGATCGGCAGGTGGATGCAAACGTGCTGACAGTTCTGACCCCGCCACCCAATCCTGGGCATCCTGCGCCATTGCCAGCACTGATGAACACGCGTGGCTCGAAGGGCCCCAAGCAGGGGCATTGCCAGGTAGCAGGGGCCTCCACCCCCCATCCCCTTGCCCTGCCTATGCCGAGCTAGAAGCAGTTATTTGGGCTGCCAAGCGGTTGATTGTAGAGTCTGCCTTGCATGAGTGTGAGGTCACCTTCCACGGCGACAGTGCAGACGCGGTGCGAGTTGCACAGACTGTGGGCACACCAGGAGCTCTCAAGGAATCCAGGGCCATCTCGGGTGCATGAGTGCAAATGCTCGCACGCTCGCTGCGCGCATGTGCACGGCAGCACGTGCCAGGGCGCAGCAAGCACACATGGAACGAATTTGTTGACGCAGCAGCGCGTCTAGCTTCATATGGAGTGTACACAGGCACACTGGCGTACACATGGCGCGCTGTGCTGGACCTACCATGGCACGCAACAGCACTACTGTGGGTATGGACAGCTATTACCCCCAACGCAGCTCGCGCCGTCCCACCACTGCCGCATGCCCCCCCCCCCCCCCCCGCCCATGCCAGAACAATTACTTACGAAGGTGCAGTTGAAGGACTGCATGCCCGAGGCTCCACCACAGCCATCCGACGAAAATATGGGGGTCAAGCTTTGGGCTGTCTCTGCAAGTGCGTTCACCATGGGCCCCCAGGCCCTACGGGCCGCAGGCGTTGCAGAGGGCTCGTGCAGGGGCCCCCAACTGGGCGATTCAAACAACTAGGCGCACGGTGCGACCGATGCGGCTACCTTCTTGCAGCACTGAGACTAGGCTGCAGACGGCCAAGTCAGCGACGGTGGACAATTACCATGTGCTGCTGTCAGCAGCCAACCCACGAGGGCAGGGCGGCTGTGCGCCGTGGATCAACGCAGCCATTGCCTACGCAGAGGGATGCTACATCAAGCCAGCAGTGTGCTGAGCTTTGCATCGAGAGCCATCTCGCCTCGTCGTTGCCATGCGTGCTCCTCGTATGTATTGCAATGTAGTGGTAGCGCATGCGCCGTGCCTGCGTGGCAACGACCCTGGCACGATGGCACGCACAAGACAATGGTGGGAAACAGCTGCACACCTCATGCGCACACTTCGACAAGGGGCAGGATCATACATCACATGTATGGATGCCAACGGCAGAGTAGGGGGCATCACCTCAGAGGCCATCGGATGCGAACCTGCGGAGGAGCAGAACGAGCCAGGCGCGAGGTGCCGCGACTTTTTGCACGGGGCCGAACAGCGGGCCCTGGGCCCTGTCAACATTTGCCATCTTTCTCTGGACACTCCGGCACTTGGTCGGCCCCGGGCCACACGGCGCAGACGCACAGGATCGATTACATTGCAGCATTGCGCGGCACATGGGTCAGCGCGCAGGGGGTCGACGACGAGATGGGCCTCGCAGTCGCACATGGGGATCTCCAAGCAGTAGGGGCATGTCTACACCTCGTAGGACATCGATCCGCCACCCCCGCCAGGCGCGGATGCAAGATGCCTCGCGACCCTGCCAAATCCAATGATCCAGGCGCGCAGGCGCTTTTCATGGGCAGATTGGCAGGTTTTCCCAATATACCGTTCGAGGTGTCAGCATCGGACCGCGCACGCATGCGCGACGCCCGCGCTCGCGCGGCCGCGCAGGAGGCCTTCCCGATATGGCAGACCGCGAGAGGAAGGCAGCCCTGGCAGAATTGGACCACGGCGCGCACGTTGCAGACAATGGATGAGCCAACGGCGGCCTTGAGGTGTGCGCGGCGTACTCAGGCAGCGGCTCGGACAGCTATCCTTGCAGTTATGGTGCTTGCGTGGGCTGGAGTGGTAGACGACCGCGAAACAGAGCGCCGGTGCACGCTGCAGTTCCCCCCGATGGGGGCCACCGCTGCACGCCCGCGTTGCGCGTGGGGCAGCGCGCGGGCCACGCGGCCAGGCGAAGGAGGTCCAATCATACCTTGTGACGAGCATGTCGCGCGCAGAAGAAGCTATCAAACAAAGGCAAAAAGAACGCGAGGAGCTCGCGGGTAATTGCAAGTGCCCCAACTGGCGCTCCAGGGCCCTCCAAGAGGCCCCCGGCCTATGCGCGCTGGACACAGGCGCGCGCAATCTACCGCGGGGTGTCTCCAGGCAACAGTGCGTAGTACAAGCGTGCCGAACCGTGCAAAAGCTCAAGTGTACATCTCGTGCAGTTCGGGAACTACTACTGACCAGCTACTATGTCAAAACATGCGCTGAATTGGATTGCCAGCAACGCTGCGACTACCTCGCAGCGTCGCTTGCGTCTGAGTGGTCCAAACATCAGCACGACATGGTATTCAAACGATTCAAGGGCATGGGGGCTTGCCCGAGGAAGGGGCAGTCGATGCGGAGAGGGGCCCGACAAGACGACCAGCAGTCTCCGCTGCAGAGGCGGCCAACATTTGGCTTGCGCACGTCGCGCCGGGCATGGGGAGTTGAGCGCCCTAGTTGCAGTCGAAGAAGCAGACGCATTATAACGTGCTTTCGCACAGTTGCCGCGAGATCTCACGCGCGACATTCCAACGCAGGGGTTTTTTTTTTACCAGCCCTGCACGAGTTCCAAAGGCATCCAAGCCATCTGCCGCCAGCCTCGACGGACTATCAGTCAGCTTGCTGCGCACTTGCGGAATGCAGCTCGGTGCATTATATTTTCCCATCGTACGCAAAGCAGTTGCAAGGCTGGACGAGCCCGCATCGTAGAAGGG